GTTCAAGTTGAAGTACGCGTCGATAAAGCAGAAGTACGATGAGCTGCTGCAGCAGCACGAGGAGCTCATGCTCCCCCTATGTTTCTTCACGCCTCTGAAGCATCCACCCTCATCCTCCCTCCTTCTTCTCTCTTCCTCCCTCTTCCATCCTCCCCCATCCCGCCTGCCCCGTTCCGCCTCCCATCTCCTTCCTCTCCTCCCCCTCCCTCTGTCGTCACAGTGCTGTCCCGATTGACTTCCGTCACCCGTGCCTCATGTATGGGTTTGTTCTTTTACGCATTCGCTGCGGCCGTTTGGGCCCAAGATTGACGCGCTGAGCATTGCGAGCTCCGCCCAGCCCAGTAGAGCAACTATAATGTTCCACTGTGTGTGCACATCTGGTCCCGTTGATTGAGCTGTGAAGCACTAAAATGAAGTCGGGCCTGTCTCTCTACAGAGGGAATAGTCAAAGACTGTCAAAAAATAGCCAGGGGACTATTTTTTGAGTATTTTTGACCGTTTGGGAATATGTTTTGGGTATGTTTGTTTACTGTTCGTCGAAAATCCCCCCGTAGGGGGGCACGCCCGACTTGACACGAAAAGGCCGAACAGAGGATGCGTGCAGCCCGCCTCTCCCCTGCTTGCCTCCCTGCTGCTGCTGCTGTCCTTCCTCCCCTCGCCCCTCCCTCCCTTCTCCTCCTCCCTCCCTCCCTCCTCCTCCTCCCTCCCTCCCCTGATTGCCCCTCCCTCCCTCCTCCTCCTCCTCCTGGTCCTCATCGTCCCCATCGTCCCAGGAGCTCCAGCAGAAGGTGGCCAAGCTCACGGAGAAGCTGAAGAGAACAGTCGCTGTTTTGTCGTCTCGCCCCTCTGCGACTCGTTGCGAGTCCTACCCCTGCGAGTCCAATCGACACTCGGGAATCGGACACCCCCGCTGAGGGTCGATTCGCTGCAGACATTATTTGATTGAACGCCCCTACGGGGGCAGACACCGCCGCACCACTTTTTGTTGGAGCCAGGAGTTTCCATGTGGGGGGGGGGTCCAGCATGGCTCCAGAGGGCCTAAGACGACGCGGAGAAGAGCCCAGGAGGATCCCCGAGAGGGCCCGACGACGGGCGAGAAATGGGCACCCGAAGGTGCCGAAAACGGCGGAGGAGACCGAGGAGGGAGACAGGAGAGGCAGAAAAGGGAGCATCGCCAGTTCGTCCTGGGGGCCTCCGAAAAGGGCTTCGGGAGCTCCCCTGGGCGCGCCCAAGGCCGCTCGCGACGGCACCATAGAAAGGAGCACGGACGGGCGCGGAGGGCCCCGAGAGGCTTCCAGGGCGGCCGCAAAGAGCCTCCGCAGGCTCCAAGATTTTTTTGGGGGGGCAAAGAACGGTATAAAATGAACTTGTGCGTCGTCGGGGACGCCTGCCCCTGGGCGACGGGAAAGTTTATACCCCTACGTGGCACCGTAAGGGTATAAACTGTCCAGCCGCCCTGGGACAGGCGCCCCCTACAGAAAAAGTTTACTTTATACCGGTCGTCGCCCGTAGAAAGATGGCCGCAAGAGCCCGCGGAGATTCACGGGAGCTCCAAGAGGGGCGCCAGGAACAGCCCGATCAGGCAAGAGCCGTCATCGTCTCTCGTGTTTTATTACGTTCTGTTGCTTACTGGGGGGTTCTGGTGTAGAAGACTCGAAGAGAGGTGGAGAGGCATCCGGGACGGCCGTGGGTGGCCCGAAGGGCGGTCAAGATCAGCGCAGAAAGAGCCTTGAGAGGCCCCCACAACGGCCCAGGAGGCTCCTGGAGAGGTGTCTTAGAGGGCTGGTGGCGCTCGGAAGCCGAGCACGTGAAAGGGGGGTCGTTATGGAACGGAAGTGATGGCAAGAAGGCGCCCCGGCCGCAGCCCCGGCCCCCGGGTCGGCGAAATGAGCAGGCCGCGGGGAGGTTCCCAGGAGTCTACGGGCGACGACCGGTAGAAAGTCAACTTTTCTGTAGGGGGCGCCTGTCCCAGGGCGGCTGGAAAGTTTATACCCTTACGGTGCCACGTAGGGGTATAAACTTTCCCGTCGCCCAGGGGCAGGCGTCCCCGACGACGCACAAGTTCATTTTATACCGTTCTTTGCCCCCTAACGGAGGGGCTGCCAGAGCTATGAGGAAAGGCATGGATACGAGGAGTGCGTGGGCAAGGGACCGAGGGGAAAGGATTCGTGCAGGTCGTGGGGCGGCGGATCACTTCGCTCATTCCGCTGGCCCGTTGCCATCGCAGGCGTTTGCCTGCGCGTTCGTGGCCTTTTTGGTCTTGGGGCTTCTTTTTGAGCCTCTTCGGGGCCTCGTGGGGCCTCCTGGGCTCTCTTGGGGGCCTCTTGGGGCATCCTGGGCGCCTCTTGGGGCCGAGAGTTCGGAATTTCCGTCAAGGTTTTCCCTGTGGGTCCCCTCTTGGGGCCGTCCTGGGGCCTTCTTTGGGCAGTCTTGGAGCCCTTTTGGGCTGTTTTGAGGCCTCCTTGGGGGCCTCTTAGGCCATCTTGGGGTGCCAAAAACAAAAGGGGCATCTGTTAATTTTGCCTCTTGGGGCCCTCTGGGGAGTGCTCTTGGAGGCTTCTTCGGCCGTCTGGGAACCATTTTGGGCGTCCTGAAGCGATCTTGTCGTGTCCCAGAAAACTCTATAGGACCATCTAGAGGGCCTCTTGGGGGCCTCTGGGCCGTTCTTCGGGTTTCTTGGGAGGCCCCGAGAGCCGCGCCCAGGAGCAGAACCATCTCTGATGGGAACTTGCTGGGGACCTGCCCAGGAGCTGCCTGGGTTACTTTTCGGCCGCGGACCCTCAGGGGCCGCCCCGCGCGCGCGAACTAAAATTATTGTTTACCAGTTACCGGAGCTTTCAGCACGCCTCTGGCCCGTTGGGCTGGCGAATTTGAATGTGGATCTCTGGCCAAGTTTTCAACAATCTGATGTGCAGGGGTATGGTTGATAGCTGATGGTTGGTTGCCTAACCCACCGGTTCTGTCTGGCTCCGACTGTGAGGCTCACCTCCAGCTTTCGGGCCGCAGGGGGGGGGAGCGGGGAATGGGGGGAGGGGGGAGGGGGAAGGGGCAAGCTAGGTGCGCTCGCGTCATATCTGACATCCTACCCCTCCCTCCCATCCCTTACCATGGCGCAGATCCCTTCTCTACTCGCTCAGTCGGATGTCGAGCAGGGCAATGATCCCGAAAGGGTACGCGATGCATTGTAGAGCACGGCATGGCATGGCGTAGAAGAGTACCGCAAAGCGTAGTATCAACCTAGCAATGCATTGCATGCCGTGGCATGGCACGGGAAATGACGCCAGCGCTGCAGCGGGAGCACGATTCGGAACGAGCGGAAGCACGGAAATGAGGCCAGCGCTGCAGCGGGAGTACGATTCGGAACGAGCGGAAGCACGGAAATGAGGCCAGCGCTGCAGCGGGAGCACGATTCGGAATGAGCGGGGCCCGAAAATGAGGCCAGCGCCTCAGCGAGAGCAGCATTTTGGAAAAAAATGCAAGCGAAAACCCAACTCCGGGGAAACCTGTGTGTAAAAAACAGTACGCGGGGGGGGGTCGGCCATTTTCAAACCGTCATCAGGGGAGAGTATATTCATATTGAGTAACTGAAGGCGGGGGGGGGGAGGGGGAGGGGGGGGGGGGGGGGGTGGAGGGGGGGAGGGGGGAGAGAGGGGGCCAGTTTATTGCGCTGAGGGGCCCGGGCGACTAAGCGCACCGGAGTCGTTCAGTTCAGCAGTTTTGGTCGCCAGGTCGCTGAGCTGCGGCCAGCAGAGGGCTCGGTGGGCCCTGGAAGCGACCAGGCCGTTGGTGCTACCAGTTCCGTGTTGTTGCTGCCAGGTCCGACGCCGCTTTTTTGCTCGTTCCGTCGCCGTTTTTGTCGCCCGCTTCGGCTCGGGCTCCGATCCTGGAGCGGTTGTGTTGCCGATTCCGGTCGCAGTTTTTTGCCGCGTCCATGTTCGAGAGACACTGTCTCGGAAACGGTGCAAAAACGGCCCTGCCGTTTCCGGGGCCCACTAAGAGCAGAAGGTGCGCGAAAGGAGGTCCAGGCCGAGGCGGCTGTGTCCAAGTATCACATATAGCCAGGACCCCAGGTAAGGGGACCCAGTTAGTAGTAAGTTGGAGCCCCCAAATTGACCAGAATCACTAAACCAGGTCTGCCGTAACTGCTGCTTTTTCGGGTGACGGCAGTTCCAGTCAGTGGAATGGGCGGGTGGGGCGTCCCCCAGTACACATCACTAAACCAGGTCCCACCAGAGCAAGTTCTGCCAACGCCCGAAGGTAGCCTTAGGTCGGGCACGCCCCTCTACAGGAGGGACGTTCAAAAAGAGTCCAGCAGTAGTCTGGGGAAGATTTTTGAAATTATGATATGGCCATCTTGGAATATGTTTTGACTGCTTTTTATCTTTGGTCCCAAATCCCCCTGTATGGGAGAACATGCCGGACCTAAAGGTGGCCCCCCTCCGCTCCGCTTCCTCTCCGGAGGCTGGAGCGGAGAGGGCCTGGCCAGCGCCCACCACCCTGACAACCCTCAGGAGCGAAAGAAGGACGTTCACGTACACATGGTTCATTTCTAAATATTCGAGAGTTCTTTGTTTTTTGGGGGGCCAAGACCCTTTCATTTCTAATTGTTCTGTCCTGGGCCTGCTCCTGGCCAACAGGGGGGCCAGGAACAATCAGAAACGAGCACACCTAGACATGAGCACGATCAGCTGAGAACGACGTGTGCATGAAGCCACGCTGGTTTCGCGAGAGTACGCGCTGCGCGAATGGTCGTATCACGCGGCCGGTCTCGCGGAGTGCGGGGCCGCGCTCCTGCGCGCGGGTGGGCGCGCACGGCCTTTTGTGGGCTCCCGGAACACCGCCCGGGCGCAGGCAGGCCGCGCGCAAAAAAACGGGCCGCCCCCTGGGGAGGAGGGGGCGCCCGCCCCGGCGGCCCAGCACGGGGCACGGGCTGGGAGGAGGAGCGAGGAGGAGGAGGAGGAGGAGGAGGAGGAGGAGGAGGAGGAGGAGGGAGGAGGAGGAGCGAGGAGGAGCGAGGAGGAGGAGAGAGCGAGGAGGAGGAGCGAGAGGAGGAGGAGGAGGAGGAGGAGGAGGAGCGAGGAGGAGGAGAAGGAGGAGATGCGAGGAGGAGGAGGTGGAGGAGGAGGAGGAGGAGGAGGAGCGAGGAGGAGCGAGAAGGAGCGAGGAGGAGCGAGGAGGAGGAGGAGGAGGAGGAGGAGGAGGTGGAGGAGGAGGTGGAGGAGAGGAGGAGGAGGAGGAGGAGGAGGAGGGATGCGAGGAGGAGGAGGTGGAGGAGGAGGAGGAGGAGGAGGAGGAGAGGAGGAGGAGAGGAGGAGAGAGGAGCGAGGAGCGAGGAGCGAGGAGCGAGGAGCGAGGAGGAGGAGGAGGAGGAGGAGGAGGAGGAGGAGGAGGAGGAGGAGGAGCGAGGAGCGAGGAGCGAGGAGCGAGGAGCGAGGAGCGGGGAGGAGCGGGGAGGAGGGCGGATCGACGATCCAGGGGGGCTGGGCGCCCTCTGGAGTCCTGGGCGAGGTCCGTCTCCTGGAGGAGGCGTCGACCCCCTTCGCGTCGGCCTCCCCCCCCCCAGCACTGCCTGTGACGGGGGGGCCCGCGGCCGCTGCCGTCCGCGGGCCTGGGCCCTCCCGCTCGGCGAGGTCGGCGAAGAGGTGGTCAACGAGACGATGGCCGAGATCGAGCTCGAGCCGGTGGTCTGGGGGGGGGGGGCTCGGCGGGGGGCGGTTACCTCAGACTCTCCGACCGAAGACGCGGCGGCGGCGGCGGCGGCCACGGCGGCCACGGCGGAAACGGCGGAAATGGCATAACCATATGTTTGTCCGCGCTCCGCGCGGAGCGCCAAGAGGTTATGTTTATGCAGTTGTTTCTTCCTCTATATCCGAGGCGGATTTTTTCCCATAGTCACCGCCTGCCTGATCGATATTCGCGGACCTCCACAGGCGGTGGATGTGGATTCTGGCCCCCGCGGGCCAAAATATGTCCATATCCACCGCCCGCTGGGGCAGACGTCGATTCCTAGGCGGTGGATATGGATAAGTTCCCGCATCGCAGAAAAGATACCGATACCATTACTCTTCCTCGGTTATCGTCGTTTTGGGGCTTCCTGGGAGGCCCTCGTCGACACGGCTGGATTCGCCTCGAAATCCTGTTCAGCACGCGTCCCAGGAGATGTCGGGGAGCAGCGGTATCGGTAATATCCCAAATTCGGTTAAAAACGATGACCCCCCCACCCACCCAGGATCCCGACTGCCAGTGACTCGCCGCCGAACAATCATTTTTTATTTTCCCCTCCTGGAAAAGATCCCACGGCGACCATAATGATGCGCCTGGTACACGATCCTGGGCTCCGGGCCCAGGCCCCCCCCCCCAGATGCGATGGGTCTTGGGGTCCTTCGGCCCCTCCCCACCCCCTCGGATGGGAGGGAGGAGGACGACGACGACGACGACGACGACGACGACGACGAAGACACCTCCCGCTTCCGCCCCCTAAAGCATCGCAACACCACGCCACACCCAGAGGGAGCGACGACGGGGACGACACGGTCAACGACGGTGTTGCTGATCCTCCTCCCTCCATCCCCCCTCGTCATCCCTTCCTCCTCGTTCCTCGGCCCTCTCTTCCCTACCTTGCTCCCTTCTCTCACTTCCTCTCCTCCTTCTCCTGATCCTCCTCCTCCTCCTCCTCCTCCTCCTCCTCCTCCTCCCTCCTCCTCCTTGTCCCTGATGGAGAGGGAGGGCCAGACCCCATACCAACCACCGCACGCCCACAGGGAAAGACCCCACCACGCCACGCCCACAGGGGGGGGAGGGGCGGGCGGCCCACCGCGCGGGGGGGTGGGGGGGGCGGGGGGGCCGATGGCATCAGCATGAGGGAGGGAGGGGGGCAGACCCTGGATCATGTTTCAAATCTATGTATTCCCCACCTAGGCTCTGCCTAGAAGGGTTCTTACTTTATAAGCTTAAAGCGCCGGGCAGTGTAACCCGCCCCGGGCGGTTCCCCCGGCATCCGCCCCGCGGTTCCCCCAGTCCCCTGGGAGCTTAAGTTTTAGTGTTAGCTTTAGCTTTAGCTTTAGCTTTAGCTTTAGCTTTAGCTTAGCTTTAGCTTAGCTTTAGCTTAGCTTTAGCTTAGCTTCAGCTTAGCTTTAGCTTAGCGTTAGCTTAGCTTTAGCTTCAGCTTAGCTTTAGCTTAGCTTTAGCTTCGCTTGAGCTTTGTTTTAGCTTAGCTTTAGCTCAGCTTTAGCTTTAGCTTTAGCGTAGCTTTAGCTTAGATGTTGGTTAGCTCTAGCTTAGCTTTAGCTTAGCTTTAGCTTAGCGTTAGCGTAGCTTTAGCTTAGCCTTACCTTAGGTTTACGTTAGCTTTAGCTCAGCTTTAGCTTTGCTATCGCTTAGCCGTAGGTTAGCGTTAGCTCAGCTTTAGCTTTAGCTTTAGCTTTAGCTTTAGCTTTAGCTTTAGCTTTAGCTTAGATTTAGCCTTGCTTTAGCTTATAGTTAGCTTAGCGTTAGCTTAGCTGTAGCTTAGATTTAGCTTAGAGTTAGCTTAGTTTTAGCTTAGCTTCAGCTTAGCTTTAGCTTAAATTTAGTTTTAGCTTAGCTTTAGTTTAGCTTTACTGCTACCACTAATGCTGCTTTCCTAGGGGCTCCAACTCCTAGGTAGGGTCGCACTGGGATATTATGTGTATATATATGTATGTATATACACACGTGTGTGTTCGATTAGATATACACACGCATGCCAGTATATTCACATACACACATACGCGCACCGGGGGACAGGGCTGCCGGCCCCTCGGGGCGGCCGCGGCCCCTCGAAGCCCAAAAAAGGAGGCGCCAGGAGAGCTCCACGAGCGGTCTCATAGGCTGCCAGGACAGCCCAGGAGCGCGCCAGGGCGCCCGAGATGGCCTCAAGATTGGGGGCAACGATAGGGGGGAATAATCAGGCATAGGGGGGGGAGGCATTGACCCCCAATCGCCCATTGATCGCCGACAGGGGCCTGAGAGCCCCAACCCGCCCAGGACGGTGCGGACTCACTATCGTGGGACTCTCGGCGATCTATCGGCGATGTATCGTCGATTCCAGGTCGATGCATCCCCCCCTATGCCAGTCCCCCCCTACCGTTGCCCCTCACACAAAAGATGTCGGTCGCGGGAGTGGCCCCGGCGGTCCGGTTTGCCCCGCCTTCTTTTCGAGATTTCTGTGCGCACTGCTGCGCTGTGAATACCTACTGCTATGACTGCCCAACAGACAAATGTGGTAGCTGTTTTACGACACTGCCGTTTGGTCTCCCCAGGTTCGGAGGGGTTCGATGTGTACACCACGTCGTTTGGCCGGCGGCCTCGGAGCCAATAGAGTCCAACGAAGGGATTCGGTGCACAGGCGCTCCAGCGCCCCTCAGGTCGGCGAGCCAGGGCGTCTACACACCAAGGCCCCTGGCCGACCTTGCGACTTGGTGTATACTCCAAGGCCCTCCCAGCGGCCCCCCCGGTCCTCGGGCCCCGGCTTCCCACCGCCGCCGCCTCGCCGTGAAGGAGAGTGGTCCTGAAGGGAACGGCGTCCCGAGGTGCTTCAGCAGCTTCTCGGTTTCCGCTGGACCTCTCCCGGGGCCCCCTGGGCGGACAGAAAAACTGTCCAGGATGGGGGGCTGGTCCAGGGTTTGGTAGCAAATCATGAGAGCCCTGTGTTTACCTTCGGAGTTCCATCTTGAGCGCGAGCTCGCGTCGATTCGCGCCCTGGAGCCGACGAAATAGCGCCGGTTTAGCGTCGCTTGGCACCGATTGAGCGTCGCCTAACGCCGACGATCCGCAGCGAGATGCTTGTCCCGACCTTTGTCTGGGGGAGAGATCTGGCAAACTCATTGTTTGTCCGCTTGGGGTTGGGGCTCGTCATTCTGCTGGGGCGCGCGGAGGAGAATCGGTCACGCCCGGGCGCGAGTGGCGGGAATGGCGGGCGACGTGGAACGAGTTCGGGGATGGCTATTTGTGCGGGACGGGAAAATGACCACAGCTACTGCTTCTTGTTTGCGCCGCCTTCCAGCCGGCCGAAAAAGAAGCAGTGGTTGTGGTGATTTCCTTGATGCCAAGCTCAACGAACATGACCACAACCACTGCTTTGTTGCTGCGGGCTGGAAGGCGGCATCAAAAGAAAAGCAGTGGCTATGGTCGTTTTCACGCCCCGTAATTTGCCCATGTTTGTTCCCTTGGTTTTACCACGCTAGAAGGGGGGCCCCAGGGCGCGCCAGGGCGCGACCACAGGCCCTTTGGGGACAGGGGTGCCATGGTTTAGGGGGCAGCCTTTTCAGCTCCCTGGGCCTGGAGAAGTGATCCTCAGACCGTTTGGGGGCCGATGCACTTGGGGGGGTGAATTCGGAGAGTCTGGGAGGTCTCCATCTCGGCGGGTTTCCCCTGGAAGTTCCACGCACAGCCGCGTCGACCCGCAGGATCGAGCCAACAAGATGGTGTGGGAGGCCCCCACGAGTTGCCGCCGAGCCAAGGTTGGCCAGGGACCGGGCCCCCTGACCTACATGCACTCGGACACGGCGGGCTTGGGACAGCGCGCGCCCCTGGAGGCGCGCACCGAAGGGCACCATCGTACAAGGAACCCCTCTGCGCGTACTGCCAGTGGGCGTCGGCAAGCCGTGCGATGTGCTCTTGGCATTGGTGAATGTTGTCTTCGTGGCCGCAGGCAGTCGAGACGTTGGAGTGAGGACCGCTGTGGGCTGTGGCGGGGCTGCGGTGGGGGCCCATGCCAAGAAACACCCTGCTTGCCTCCAGGGTGCTCTGGGTTTTTTGGGCTTCGATGGTTCTGCCATGGAAGGCGTGACGTTCCCACACCACAAATCGATGGACGTCATGGGGTCTCAGGTTTGGGTTTCTTGTGGAAGGTTTCTTGTGGACCGGCCTCCACTGTATTCAGCGCTTACTGATTATGGTAACACGCTGACTGTAACTCTGTGTGCGCATGAATTCTGCCCATGTGAGCGGTGCTGCAAGCTTGTCTGCTTTCGGGCAGCCTCTACCGCTCAAGATCGCCAAGCCTCCCACGCCGACGCGCGCAAGACCATGGGTGCGTTTTGCACGAGCGGGGTTGTGGAGTAATGCGGGCGGCAGGCCAGAGAGGGAGGAGGCCGAGTTAGTAGCAAGACGATCGAACGGCGAAAGGAACACGAGCCTCCCATTCTCAGATCTGTGTTGCGCATTTGTCTCACTCGGCGCGGGTCTGGCCTAGGCGCTCCTGGGAGCGGCAGTGTGCGACACATGATCGACACAAAAAAGGGGTCGTCTTTACCGACATTGGTGCGTGAGCTGCCCGCGTAAGCGCCCTCGTCTCCATTGTGGCTTGCCGCGCTGGTGGCCCGCGTAAGCCACAGCGTAAGGTCGCTGTGTCATCTCGCGCAAGACGCATATTTGATCGTCGCTCACTTGCCACGAGCCAGGCAGCCTTGCCACGGTGACGAAGCGCGAGGACAGAGGCAGCGCCGCCCACGGTACGATCCGCTGCGATTCGATTCGGTGGCCGGGGCCACGACTCCGATCCGTTTCGACTCCGTTCGATTCATCGGCATCGGCTGGGGCCAGCCACAGAAGGGCGGGTCGTCCCCGATTCTCAGGGGCGACGACAGGGGCGCACAGCCCAGGGGAGAGCTATACGCACATGCATCCAGGGGCGCCGATGGTCTATGTCTTCGACAAGGCTCCTGGGCGAAGACGTGTAATGCCCGCCCCTGGGCTATTCGCCCTCCTCGTCGCCGCCGAGATCCTGCCTCGATCCCGGGCGAGTTTCCGCCAGGCGAGCCGCTCCGCTTCCGATCCGAGCAGGCCCCGCGAGTCCGCTCAGGGCAGGCCCATGGAGGCGCGCGTGCCCATTGGAGGGAGCCTAGAGAGGAGAAGGAGGAGGAGGAGGAGGAGGAGGAGGAAAGGAGGAGGAAAGGGAGGAGGAGGAGGAGGAGGAGGAGGAGGAGGAGGAGGAAAGGGAGGGGAGGAGGAGGAAAGGGAGGAGGAGGAGGAGGAGGAAAGGAGGAGGAGGAGGAGGAGGAAAGGGAGGAGGAGGAGGAGGAGGAGGAAAGGGAGGAGGAGGAGGAGCTCCCGAGGTGATGAAGCGAGGCTACGTGAAGGCCTGGGACCGGCTCTACCGAGATGCGCAGCGGCGCCAGCAGGTCCACGCACATCAGTTCGGCCTCGATCCTGCACCGGTCGCGGGCCCCCCGCCGTCGCCGACCGCCTCGGGGGCCATGCAGCCTCCTCCTCCTCCTCTCCTCCTCCCCTTTCCTCCTCCTCCTCCTCCTCCTCCCCTCCTTCCTCCTCTCCTCCTCCTCCTCCTCCTCCTCCTCCTCCTCCTCCTCCTCCTCCTCCTCCTCCTCCTCCTCCTCCCTTTCCTCCTTTTCCTCCTCCACCTCCTCCTCCTTCACCTCCCCCTTTCGGGCATGGCCCCTTCTGATCCCGCCGATCCGAGTATGTACCGATCCTGGCCGGCTCGATCCGATTTGACGCCGATCTACCAGCGATCCGATGCGGCCCGACGGGTCGCACGGCGCTGCTGCCTATCCTGGCGCAGCCGGTTCCCGATGCCTTGGCAAGATCATGAAAAGAGCAATCGGCTTTGACCTCGGCAATGGTAGCTTTGGGAATCCTGGGATGTGTGTAGATTTATTTGTGTGTCCCCGGGCCGAGGAGGAGGAGGAGGAGGAGGAGGAGGAGGAGGAGGAGGAGGAGGAGGAGGAGGAGGAGGAGGAGGAGGAGGAGGAGGAGGAGGAGGAGGAGGAGGAGGAGGAGGAGGAGGAGGAGGAGGAGGAGGGAGGAGGAGGAGGGAGGAGGAGGAGGAGGAGGAGGAGGAGAAGACTGCAGGGGGAAGGAACGCCCGAGCGAGGGCGAGGCCGTGGAGGGAGGAGGGGCGCGACCAGGCGGAGCAGGATCGCTGCCTCTCGTCGCGCGCGCGCGCGCCCTGCTCGGCTTGAGTCGGGCCTGTCCCCCTACAGGGGGATTTTCGACGAAGAATAAAAGATACCCCAAAAGTAGATAGTCCAAAGATAGTCTGGGGACTATTTTTGGAGGTTTTTTGATCATTCTGGAGCATTTTGGAGTTATTTCTTATTTGTCGTCGAAAATCCCCCTGTGGGGGGACAGGCCCGACTTGATGCTCGGCTGAGGTCGCGGCGGCCAACCACTCGATCCTCATGGGGCAGCAGCCGCCCCCGGACGCGGGCCCCAGCCCAAGGCTCGGAGCCTCGAGTCGGGCGGGGCCCTCTACAGGAGGCATCTGCAGGAACGGTAGACACGATCCCAGTCCGGTGACGGTTTGTTCGTGCTCGTTTGGGCCAGCTGTCTTGGTTTTGGACTGTGTTCCATGTTCCTTCCAAAATCCGCTTGTGTGGGCGACATTCAGGAGGGGAAGAGACACACGGACACAATTCATCGTCGGCTACCAGGAAAAGATAGGGAAAGATGGGAAGACGGAAACCCAGAAAACCTCGGAGCATATGGGGAACCTTGTTGCTCGTGTGTATTCCTTTGTGCGTGTCCCTGGGCCCCTCCCAGGCATGCACGACATCCACGTGTAGCCCAATCGACGACCCGCGCCGACCCCGGCCGAGCCGGCCTCGCGAGACCCGAGAGCGAGGCACGCGCCGCCGCCGCAGAGGCCGAGAGGCCGGAGGGGCGAGGCCGCGAGCGAGGAGGCCGCCTCGCCAGAGGCCTCGGGGTGCGCCTCCGCCGCGCGGGGGCCCCCGTGGCCTGCTCCGCCGGCCTCTGGCCCGGGGGAACCGTTTTTTGATCCGCGGGTCGAGAGCGCACCTCTTCCAGTCGAAGCCAAGCGGGTCGCGCGAAGCTCGAATTAACCAGAGATGGGGGACGAAAAGGGGGGCGCAGCCTTGGCCCCGGGGAACAAGCCATGGCATAGACAGGACAACCTGGAGATCCGCGCGGGTTCCTCGGATCGACGCTGGACCCCCCTCCCTGGCGCGCGGAGCGCGCCAGGGGCCGCGCCGGGGGCGCCGCCGTGGGGCGCCAGCGCGGATCCGAGAAATCCGCGCGGACCCCCGAGGTGTTATGTTTATGTCATTGTTCGTTCCTTTCTAGCCAGCCTTGTGCTCATCCATCTCCAAGCGCGTTCCGTGACTCGCAAAGTGCCCACTCGCAATCGTCCGAAAAACAAATGCCTGCCTCGATGTAATGTATCGCAGACTCCCCATGGCGGATCCAGGTCTTTTGCAAGTAGTTCTTTAACGCGCTTGTCTAATCCATGTCCCTGAGATTGGCAGGCCCAGTCGGCGGCACTCTTGAGGATGTGCCCTCGCTCACTGGGGAAACCCTTCTCGCATCTGCACCACGACCTGCTGCCGATCCTGAGGGGCTGCCTTGTCCTCTGGCATCGCGTTGTTTGCTTGTGGCGTGGGCGCCAGGGGGATCTCGACCCTCCTCCTCTTCGTTTCCCTCTCCTCCTCCTCCTCCTCCTCCTCCTTCTCCTCCTCCTCCTCCTCCTCCTCCTCCTCCTCCTCCCGGGCTGGCCTCTCATCCCGGGTTGTTTCTTGACCATCCCAGGCCGAGAGGCAGCCTGCACGGTGCCAAGAACGCAGTAGGAGTACGTGCCGCCACATCTGGGCGTGGCGTTGCCCAAACCTGAGCGGGCGGATCGGTCAACACCGCACGCCCGAGCTCGGCATCGCTCGGACGTGTGCACTTTTCTTTCGGCGAGGACCAGCGAGTGGCATCCTTGATCATTTGGCGAAAAAGCCACGCACGAAACCGAACAAACACAGGCAATGGACGTCCGAGCGATGGCCAGCAAGTGCAGCGAGCAGTACATACAGGCCGGGAGAGAAACACGTGAGCGTCAACGCCAACACAGGGCTTGCCGTGATCGCCATCCTTTCCGTTGTCCTCTTCCCCTATCCGTTCCGGCTGCTCTTGCACGTTGCATCGATCTGTATGGAGAGAGATGTCCTGTTCCCGGGCGATGGAGGGCGCTACCGGGGGAGAGGTGCAGGCAGCAGGTAACGTCACGTTTCGCGCTGGTGTCGTTTGGGTACGCAGAGAAAGAGCAGAAGACACCTCGGACAGCAGATGCCTGTATTGATATGCTCCGGCAGAACGACCTAAGATTTGCTACGGCAGAGCGCCTTCTTTTTCCTCGTCATCCTCTGCCTCCTCGATCTTCCCTCATCCCTCCTCATTCTCCTCCGCCCCGTCGTCGTCGTCGTGTTCCTGCTTCTTTGGGAGACTGAAACGCGACACAACGTTACACTTGTCATCTGTGTTTCTTACCCAGAAGTTGTATACACATGACGTGGCCAGCCTGGGTGAAAGCTGGATACACATGTCTTTCCAGGGTTCGTCCCTCGAGTGGCCGAGCACGCCAGCCATCCGCACTTGTGTCCAGCAACTGCCTCCGCATGTTCCGCATGTGATTCCAGCCGCGTGTTGCTCCGGCCTCGTGTGTTGCTGAAGACACCTAGCTTGGGATTCTCGATCGTAGGAAAAATGATGCAGTGCACTGCGGGTAAGTTTGAGTTGGAAGTAGCCCGCGTGCATCTCATGGGCTTGCGCCATTCCGCAAGCCCCAAGTACGCCCTGGCGATCTGGAGCGCACGTTGCTGTGCAGCGCAGCACTTTGCAACGCAGCATGGGGGAATAGGACGACAAGAGGAGGACCATGAGCAAGAGGATCGGAGAGATAATGATGATGATGTTGATGCTGATGATGATACTGGTACTGATGACAATGATGATGATGCTGATTGTGATGCTGATGATGATGCTGATGATGATGCTGATGGTGATGAGGATGATGATGATGATAATGATGATGACGACGGGGAGGAGGAGGAGGAGGAGGAGGAGGAAGAGGAGGATGAGGATGATGATGAGGATGAGGATGAGAATGAGGATGAGGATGATGAAGCTGCTGATCATGATGATCATGATGATCATGATGACGATGCTGATGATGATGATGATGATGATGATGATGATGATGACGACGGGGAGGAGGAGGAAGAGGAGGAGGAAAAGCAGGAGGTGAAGAAGACGGGGAGCACGACGACGAGGCCACTTCCCCCCTCGGGCGCCCAGACCCGTCCCTGAGCACGAATCGACAGCACAAGTGGTATGAAACAGGTCGGTTCGGCCTGGCCCCGCCCGCCACGCCCCCACGCCTCCTCTTGATGTCCCTCGTTCCTTCTTTTATCCCTTTTGAATAACCGTTCACTGCAATGATGAGAACGATGGCGGCGATATGCGGAGGAGGTGGAGGATGGAGGGGAGAGGGTATAGCAAAACCAACATGTATGTCCAGTAATACCCTACGTTGCGCTTGGCTGTGCGTAGCTGTCGGTCGCAGGTCCTTGGATACTGCATACCCATGCATACCCGTAACTTGGTGAAAGCTCTGCCGTAGCATGTCCCCGTCGGTACCTGCTATTCGAGCTTTCTTGGCTTTACTTAGGCATTCCCAGACCGCGCCAGCACAAATCGTGACGTGACCGAGGGGGGGCGGGGATGGCCAGGGCCGGCAACATAATCAAATTGCCTTGCCGCTGCAGCATTTTAGCGCGAAGCCGGCATCTTCGGGGTGCACCAGCATGTGCTTGACGACGACGCGGATTGATAGCTCGATGTGGGCTGTATGTTGGCATCGTGTGCTGCTTTGGGATTGTCTCTGCGTCTTGGCTTGTGTTGGAGTTGAGCGCTGCGTTTCTTGGGGGGCGCTGTCGAGATCAGAGGGGACCCCAGAGTTTCGAAGTCGTAATGACTTTCGGTAGAGGGGAACAATGAGTGAACACCCCCCCTGCCCCCCAAACTCAAAGTTGGCACGCGCGGGGGAGACTGCGGTCGAGGTGCAGCTCATCAGACCCACCGCCAACTTTGAACATTGGGGGGAGGGGGAGGCGTTCACAGATGAATGTGGCAAGCGAGATCGCTATTTTTTCCGAGGCCTGTTGGTCGGCACATCGGGTCCCTGGGGATGCCCACCCTTGCCTCGAGGCCGGTTCTTCGTCCTGAGCTCGTGCTAGTGGTCCCCAGGGCCGGGCGTGGGCCCCCAGAGGCCGGAAAGTACAAAGACAAAGAACATCGTCCTGAGTTTCTCAGGGCGTCGGGGGTCCGGGTGGGCAGGGATCGGGGGTGGACAGAACCCCCACCCTGCCACGTCGATCAGTGAATTGTCCGTTTTCGGTTCTCGCGAGGGCGCCGCGGCCGTCATTTTCCAGGTCTGCACCCGCCAGGTTTGGGCCCGAGGTCGTTATCACTAAACCACGTTCTACTAAAGGGGGGTATGTCCATCCCCGAAGGGATGCGTTTGTCTAGGCCTCCCAGATAGGGTCCGAGCAGATGGGGTCGGAGGATCGTGCCGCATTGCGGATACATCGGGGACGCGGCTCGATGTGGGCGCCGACTTTCTCCACGCCGACGTCGCGGATGCGTCGCCGACGTCGCCGATCCATCGAAGCTGCAACGCAGATGCGTTGGCGATGCGGCGTGATCCTCCGACACCGTCGTTTCGGACCCCATTTCCCAAACCCCCGACGTCATGATGCTCTCATAACGCTGACCCCCTTCCGGGACTGGTTTTCCACCATGAGCCGTTTTTTATTATCCTGAGGCCAGGTAAGGGCCCAGAGGCCGAAAATTTAATACAGTTCTCCCGCTGTGATTTTGTGGTTGCCCTTAGGGGTGTCTGGGTCATGAGTATTCTAATGTGAGGCTAGCCAGGGCCGATGCAGGCGGCCACACCCAGGCAACCCCCCTTCCCCCGCATTCGGCTGCAACTCCTGGGAAGTAACATTCTGATTCTGCCCTGGTCAGAAATCGGGCTTAGTCGGACTTCCTCCAGCTAAGTCCAACTTAATCCAGGTTAGTCCCGCTGACTCCGATTTTATCCCGCTGCATTCGCGGCCTGATCCTGCGCAACAGCCCCCCCAGTGGGGCTCAATCTTCCTTAACCCGTCCGACGAAGACCTCCCAGCAGTTGCCGTCTAACCCGCAGGCCTGGCAGTGCGGGCCCGCAGTCGGCCACGCAGTCGACGCCGACGCTGCCATCGCTGCAGACGCTCAAGAGCAAGCAGTTCCGGGGGGTAGCCCCTCAGGGGCAACGCCGCGGGGAACAAATGATGGCATGAACATAGCTCAGGAGTGAAAACCACAGACACAAATAATCGCTGCTTCCTGGAACAATGTGTCCAACATATGGGAAGTGGAGCGGGAGACGAAACTCCAGAGAATATGAGATCATCTGGGACCTCCCCTCCCGCCCCGCGGAGCGGGACGAAACGATGTCCGCTTGCAGGACGTCGCGTGTCGCCGGGGCCGCCGCCACGACACGCGACACCCTCGGCGTTAAGGATCTCACGCGTCGAGGGGCTCTTCAGGGGGGCTCTCGATGTTATGCGCTCTGTGCTGCAATATACAATCTTGGTAGGATACTACCAGAACAACTGGTTGGGAAATGGTCGAGGGCAACTTTCCGGCGGCGCGCCCGAGGGGGGAGCGAGAAGGGGCGCGACTTCTCAGAAGGCTCGGAAGTCCTGCGGCCTTCTGAGAAGTTTTCTGAGCCTTCCCCGAAAACCCGCGAGAGTTTCTCAAAAGGCGGGAGGGCGTCTGAGGAGCCCCGCCGCCGTATGGGAAGGCCTTCTCCTTCTCACTCCCCCCCGGTCTCGCCACCGAAGTCGGCTGCGCAGTCCAACAGATTGCTGACCTCGTCTCCCAGTCTTGGGCGGAGGCCCACCCCCGCCCCTGGTCCCGACGCCCACCCCCGAGCCCGTGATCCAGGGGGTCGGGACTGGGGGTGGGGTGGGGTTTTCTGCAGTCCTGGACCCTGAAAACCCACGACCCCCTGGATCGCGGGTTCGGCGATGGGGTCGGGACTCGGGGGTGGGGCTGGGCCTTCGCCTTCTCAGTTCTGGCGCCCTGGCGCCCGCCTGCGGCGGGTGCGCCCGCCAGGTGCGCACTGGCAGGCCCGAGTCCGAGACTCAGGACGGGGCGACCTTCGTGGAGTCGAGGTCCGTCAAGCAGTGGCGAAGCGTCCCGGCGTGCCGATCGTCCTACCAAACAATGCTCTAATAATTTATTGTGAGTCCCAGGAAATGTTCTCGGAATATTTCTGGCGGCCTCTGCCTTGTTTTTTTCACATCGGGTTTATGTTCTAAGAATATTTTTTGTTCTTACAAGGTCTTTGGGTTCTAAGAACATGTCGTGGTAGGACTATAGGAATGCCGGGACGGGCGGTCCCTGCTCAAGTCCGAGGCTTTCGGGCGTTCTCGCTGGCCCTCGGCGGCCTTTCAAGGCCCGGGATTTGCCTTCCAGCGGCTGCGCCTCGCCGAGAGCGCTCCAGGGGGGGTGCCCGCATCGTCCGAGACCGGCCGCGGGAGAGCCAGGCTACAGGACCCGACAACGAGGGGGCAGCGTTGATCCCAGAACCCCTCGAGTAGTGAAAAAATCACGACGGGAGGTTTTTCGTAATTTTCAGCCTCTGGGGGCCCTTGCCGGGCCTCGGGACCGTCAAAAAACGACTCAGGATGAAAAGCCGGTCCCAGGGAAGGGGTCGAAACCTCTGGGGGTCGACGTCATGAAAAAATCATGACGTCGGGGGTCTGGGATCGGGGGATGGGCTCATAGGGGGAGACGCACCGGCCCCCACTCGCCCATGCATCGCCGAGGGGCGTGTGCAGCCCCAGCGTTGCGGACCCCGCGCGTGTGAAGGATTGCGTGTGGGGGGATCTCCCCGGGGTCCTGGGAGAGGGGCTGGCCTGCGCGCTGCCGGCTTCGAATCTGGAGCCCACTCAGCTCTCAGAGAGCCATCTTCTTGGGGCTTGTGGGGTCCCAGACCCGGACAGCAGGGCGCCGCCAGGGCGTGGGAAAAGGCCTGCCGAAGAGCCTGGAAGGACGAGAGCTTCTGAAGGACCTTAGGATAATCAGGAGGGGAAAAAACACACAGACACAAGTAATCGTCGACTCCCAGGAAAATATGGGAACATATGGGAAGTGGGGGGGGAAAGAAAAACCCATAAAATATTGGAAAATATGGGGGATCCTTTTATTTGTGTGTATTTATTTGTGTGTCCCAGGGCCCCTTCAGATAAGCTTCCGGGCAGGCGTACCGGGAGGCGCTTCGAAAAGGTCTCTCGGGACACGCCACCGGCTCAAGCCACCTGCGCCGGGGATTTGTGCCGGAAGCCGGAACGAGCTCCATGCGGCTCGTGCTTCTAAATCTGGAACGATCTCAGCTTTCCAGAGCAATCTGGGAATTACTCTCAGCTTCCGCTGCTTTGCTATCTGGGAAACTCTACGAGTCAAGCGCTTAGAACGCTCATGGGAGAAGCTTGCAAGGGCGCTCGAAAGCATGCCTGGGGAGCTTGCAAGCATCAAGAGAAAGTGCCTGTGGGAGACGCTTGCCAGGGCGCTGGAAAGCATGCCTTGGGAGCTTGCAAGCTTCGAAAAAGCACTTGTGGCGTCCACTTGTGAGGTACAAACCCGGATAGCAGGGCGCCAGAGGGGCGCGCGAAGGCCTGCCGAAGATCTGTGGAAGGACTGGTGTGTGCGTGTTTGTGTGTGCATGTCAAACGCATAGCGTTTGGAAGCCCATGCTTGTGGAACATCCATGCGAATGGCACCCTCTGTGCGTGAGACCCCGAATGTGTGAAACTCGTTTATGTTTGTATGCAACCCCATGTGTATGTGCGCGTGTGCGACCCCATTTGTGAGTACCCCCATGCATGTGTCACCCCATGCCGTGGAATCCCATGTGCGTGGAATCCCGGTGTGGAGCCCTCATGTTTGTGTGGAACGTAACTCGTGTGGAGCCCCATGTGCTTTGAGCCCATGTGCGTGAAGTGCATTGTGCGTGGAAACAGTTTGGGGAACCACACGTGTGTGCGTGTGAGTTAAATCACCTGTGTGGGGCCCAATGTGCGCGCGGCATAACGTGTGTTTCAGCGTAAGTGTGTGGAACGTCGGGGATCCAATATATATATATATATATATATATATATATAGACATATGCTGATCTGGATGTATTATATATCTATGTGTGCAAGATTGCGTTGGTGCTTTGCGCCACGCACCTTGGACCTTCAAGCTTCGTATACGTTGGTACTTTGGCGTCCTCCGTTGTGGCTTTTGAAAGTAGGCAGTTTCATTTTCAAGTCCCCTTACCTGTTTCTTATTTACTGTTGCACTCAATTTACATGTTCGTGCGCCACCCGATTTCATTTTGGGGTGCGTTTCGATTGTAGTTTCGAGGCAGATCCGATGACGTGGCGACGAGAAAGCCACCTGGAGGCTCCGAAAAAACGCTGAACCAACATCGTTTGCCTTCTTCGCTGAATCCTGCGCCAGCAGGTGTCGTAACGGCCTGCGCGTCGATGTTTGACACTGGTTTGATTGTTCAGCCGTGAGCGATCGCGCATTCCCGTTCAAACCCGGCCGATTCTTGACCACTGGCCGCGTTCATTCCGAACGCCCGTGTTGTAGTCGCCGCCGCGTCGACACGACGTAAATTTACCGCTGTGGGGGACAAGTTGTTTCTTGGGGGTCGTTTTCTCTACTCTGGGATATGTTGTTCAGGCCCTGCTGGTTGCAGCGGTTCCTGAAGACCGGTGTCGAACCAAAAACCTCCGATGATTGCAGAAACTCCAAGAAGCCTGGCGGCTTCAGCGGTTTCCACCGCAATAGACCAACAAGTATAGGAGCCATCGTAGACCCCGAAGAGTGAGGTGTTGAACTCTGGCGGTGAAGTATCTGCGGCTTGACCTTTGTAATGTGAGCCATGTTGTGGTAACCGTGCGGTGCGGGGTATGCGTTGGAAGCTCTTCGGTGTTAGGTATGTGATAGTATCTATGTTGTGTACAGAGTGTAGTGCGGGCGACGGGTGGTATCTGCAGGAGTTACGTTATATGGTGCAGGACAGGTGGTATGAACAATGTGTTGAGAACGGCGTTGTGGAAACTATGCGAAAGAACCGACCGGTGTAAGTTATATGGTGAGGGGGGCTCACGATCGCCCATGATGCGACATGGGCGGGCACGTGACGATACGAAGCCAACTCACGCAAGTTCTGTACGCCGAAGCAAGGAACGCTAGTGCAAGCACCGTCTGGGGAAGCTGCGGGAATCGCTCTTCCATCCCTCGCACCTCAATTTGTCGAGCGTTCTTTTCGGTCCTCGTCCTCTTCGCAGCCCCCCCCCCGCGGCGTCGCCGTTGTTGCCGAGTGCCCCCCTTGTGATCTTGGACGACCAACGCAGGAGCGATACGAGAAGCCGCGCTGATGGCGACCACGGCAGCGACGACGGTGACGACGACGGCAGCAACGACGGCAGCGACGACGACGACGACAGCGACGACAGCGACGAAGACGACGACGACGACGGAGACGACGACGACGACGACGACGACGACGACGACGACGACGACGACGACGACGACGACGACGACGACGACGACGACCGCAGCGAGGGCGGCAGCGACGGCGTGGGCGATGACGGCAGCGACGACGTCAGCGACGACAGCGGCGGCGTGGCCCCGCGGCGCGCGGCGGCGAGCCCGCCGGCGGCCCTCGCTCCCCCTCGGGGCGCGCCCGGCAGCGAGCGATCGCGGGGGGCGGTGGCTCACCTCGAGGGCCTGTTGGCCCGCGGGGGCACGAAGAGGTCCTCGAGGGTTCTGCGTGGTCGTCTGAAGTCGGGCCTGCCCCTCTACAGGAGGCGTGTGCACAAGTTGTCCAACAAGAATAGTGTGGCCGACGATGTCTGGAACATGTTTTGACATTTTCGGGTTTTTGGGGTATTCTAAGTTTTTGGTCCAACATCCTCCTGTATGGGGGACATGCCCGACCTAATGGTTGTCGTCGGCCCCCGATCGTTGGGGAATGTTGCTGGGCCCCGTTTCTGGGCCCTGGGGCCATCAGAAGTGGGTTCGGAAGGAGACGTTTTCCCCCGGAGGATCTTCGGAGGTCTTGGAATGTTGGGTCGTCTCTGGCCTGTCCCAAACTGCCAGGGTCGACGGGAAGCCGCTGGGTGGGGAGCAGAGGAGGTGAGGGAGGAAGATTGAGGGAGGGAGGAGGCCTCAAAATTAGGGCCTCACGAATGCCTCTCAAGGGCTTTGGGGACCTCTGGAGGCCTCCTGGGCGCCTCTCTGGGCCGTCTTGGGGGTCCTTCTGAAGCCCGTTTAGGCCGTCTTGTGTTCCTCTTAGGCCGTGCTGGGGCCGTCTTGGCGAAGGCCCCGTGAGCTATTATCGGGCCGTCTTGGGGCAAGATTGGGCCAACGACTTCGGCGACGGCTACGTGGTCTTTTAAGCCAACGGCTACGGGTGCATAGGTACAGGATCCTGCTTGAATAAAGAGCGCTTACTTTTCAAAAGGGGCTCGGTCGTTCCTTTGGTTTGCATGCGCTCCGCTACCTTTTTGGCGGCGAGCCCCCCCTGGTGTCCCTTCAGATTTTGGACGCGCGGGTCCGTTCTCTCGGACTTCGTAGACTTACTTGGAAAAAAGGGGTTTCGTTCCTTAGTTAGCGTTCCTCAGGTCAGGCCGAATCCTGCACGTACGCAATTGAAGAACCTGCTCCCATGAATGACGTTGGGGGGGCCTTCGTGTGGTCCACACGCTGGCCCGCTGGTGTCCCAGGCTGTCCGGGTGCGCAGTGCGAAGCAGTGGTAAGCCATGCGAAGGACGACCAAACCACGCAACGCACTGCCAAGAAACACCGAAAACAAAACAACATTAACAAAGGAAAGCCACATACTATGAAGCAACCTATTACAAGCAATCCCGCAGCTTCTGGGGAACTGTGGTGCAAACCCGGGATGCGGGTCAGCTTCGTGTCTTTATCGCAGGAAGACGCCCTCTGGGAAACGCATGACCATGCGAAGGAATGACGTTCGGGGTCCTTCGCGTGGGCACCACGCGGGTTCGCTCGCAACTCAAAAGTTCAAGGCGATGGAAAGCATCGCCTTGTTTTTCCGCATCGCTCCTCTCATTCATCCTCGCACTCGCTTGACGTTGCGAACCGTTTCCTGTCTGCCGCAGGTCCTGTTGCGGAGGTTCCTCGTTGGAGAACCTCTTGGGGGTTCCACGAATGCCCCTCAAGGGCTTTGGGGACCTCTGGAGGCCTCTTTGGCGCTTCTCTTGGCAGTCTTGGGGGTCCTTTCAAATCCCGTTCAAGCCGTTTCGGGTCCCTCTTAAGCCGTGCTGGGACCTTTTTGGAGAACTTGGGCTGTCTACGGGCCTTCTTGGGGCCATCGTGGGCCCTCCTGGGGACTTCCCATGACCCGCGTGGGTCTCTCTTTGGAGTCTTTAGGGGCCCCGTGAGCTTCTTTCGGGTTGTCTTGGGGCAATATTGGGCCCCCCTTGGGCTGTCTTGGAGCTCTGTTGGGGGCCTCTTGGGCCGTCTTGGGGTGATCTAGGAGGCCTCTCGGGCCGTCGTGAACGCTGCTACGACACTTGGCCTTCTTGGGGCCATCTTGGCCCTCGTGAGTCTGTCTTGGGAGACTTTGTGGGCCCCGTGAGCTTCTTTCATGCTGTCTTGGGGCAATTATTGGGCCCCCTTTGAGCTGCCTTGAAACCCTCTTGGGGGTCTCTTGGGCCGTCTTGGGGCGATCTAGGAGGCCTCCCGGGCCGTCGTGAACGCTGTGCTACGACACAAAGGCGAGTCTATCCCGGGGGTCCTCCCGCCCCCCTGGCTTCTGAATATATGAGAAAAGAGGAATCGTCGAGTAGGGGATCGACTGCAGAATTGATTCACCCCAAAATTGATTCTCCATCGAATCTACGACGGAGACCTAGGATGTTCAGCAATCTACTGAGACTTCTGCAAATTTTCTCCGATTCGACGAGAAAACCAATTCTGGGGTAAATCAATTCTGTAGTCGATCCCCTACGCGAAGTCTGTGTGCGGAGCCCCGTGTGCGCTTGGAACCCCCTGCGCGTGAAGCCCCACACGCGCAGTCATCATGCGGCGCCGACGCTGGGACACACACAGCCAAGCCTACGGCAAACACACACACACACACACACACACACACACCGTGGCCAAGCCCACGTTGAAACCCACACTGAAACACACGTCTGAACTCTCCTGGAAGCCTCCGCCCACACCCAGGTCCAGTCCCGCGCCCAAGCCCACGCCCAGACCCAAGCCTGGACACGATTGAGCGGCCGCGGCCCAACAGACCTCGGCCAGACGGGGGCAGCTACTTGAAACGCGAACCAGGCACCCTACAGAGCTGACATCGCCTGGAGACGAGACCGATGCACAGAACGTAAGGAAAGAGCGCACGTTGATCCCCGCACCGGCTCCGGCCAGGCCGGTCCTGGGCGGAGGATCGGCGCCTGGTGGGCCCCGGGCCCGTCCCAGAGGCAGCGCGGAAGCCGCAGGGCCGTCGGAGCTGAGCTCCGAGCGCTTCTCCTCGAGCGCCGCACCAGGGAGCTCAGAGGCCCAGCGCGCAGGGATCCGAAGATCCGTGGCGCCGCCCTTGAGCTCGAGCGTTTACTGCTCGGTTCTCACCGTTGGCGCGAAGGTTATCGCTGGTCGCAGTCTAGACCAGAGCGTCGCCCTCCTCCGCGTGGCAGGGGGCTGCGCCAGAACGCGGAGATGCCCGCGCATCGCGCGGCGCCAAGCGCTGAGCGAGGCGACCGCGCGATCCTGGGGGAGTATCTGGCACTTCTGACCACCACAGACACAGCGGGGTGTCTCCACTGGGGGAAGAGGATCCCACTTCCCCTCCACCTCAAACGTGTGTCGCGCAGTTGTCTTGTCGATGTGATGTAGCGGGCTTGGGTGACATTGCGCGCAAGGTCCCTGGCTGGCGCCCCCTTTCCACTATCGGCCGTTGTACAACATGTCGAGTTGCGCCCGCCCAGACCGCGTCTCGTATTGCCTTGACGTGGAAGAGGGCGACATCGAATGGGCGACAGAGACGACATCGAAGTGGCGCGTCAACCACTTTTGGGCTAAGTTCGTCGAGGGCTGTAAATATTGGTGCTGGTGGTACTCTCCTGGCCACCTCGAAAGCCCGAGTGTTGCCCCCATCGCCGGGATTGGGAGCGTCTTCTTCCGGTGGACGCAACCGCCGATATTGGTTTTGGTGCCAGCCTCCCTAGACCCCCAACGTCATGCTTTGTTTCATGAAATTCGGCCCCCAAGTCTGGACCCCTTTCCCGAGACCGGCGTTTCATCCTGCGTGTCTCCTGACGATCCTGGGGCTTGGCGAGGGTTTTCCGAAGATGGAGACATAGAGACGTCCATCGTGATTTCTTCTCCACGCGAGGGCATCAGAATTGGACTGATTATCTCGTGAATCACAAATGTCAGGGTGCCGCTATCTCAGACCATCTGGCTCATAACGAGCCTCGAAGCTAGCAGCACATGGATGCATCAGCCACGTACATATATGACATACGCATACAATTCTAATCTCAGTTGAACCATATGCAATGGCAGAGCCACGTAATCACTAGATGGGTCTAGCGAATGTGATTCATGATCTGCTGGTTGAAACTTCAAAATGAAGCAGCGGTTTGTGTCTGAGCCTCCCACGAGGTTCGGCATCAGCGCGCTGATGGGCCTCGGCGGCGGCCTGAGGAACCCTCTCGGCGGCCTGGGCGGCAGCCTCCCCGTCGGCCTGGGAGGCGGCCGCGGCGGCGGAGCGTCGTCGGACGAGGAGCGGGGCACCTCGAAGGCGCAGGGCGCGCGAGCCTCCAGCGCCAGCGCGCGGCGCCCAGTGACCAAAGGAGGAGGCGGGATGAGGGAGGAGGAGCAGAGGAGACGGCGGGAGAGGGAGCGGTGGAGGAAGGAGGAGGTGGAGGAGGAGGCGGAGGGAGGAGGAGGGAGGAGGGAGGAGGAGGGAGGAGGAGGGAGGAGGAGGGAGGAGGAGGGAGGAGGGAGGAGTAGAGGGGCCAGAGGAGGGAGGAGGGAGGAGGCCGGGAGGGAGGGAGGGCGGGGCGGAGGAGAGGGGCCCATGACCTCCAGCGCACGGATCGACGGCGCGCCCCCTGGGGGGCAGGTTCTAGGGGTCGGAGGGTCGCGCCGCATCGCCGATGCATCGGCGATGCGGATGTGGAGCCCGATTTTCTCCACGCCGATGGCGCCGATGCATCGCCGATGGCGACAATGCACCGCCGATGCATCACCGATGCATCGGTGACGCGTTGGCGATGCGGCGCGATCCTCTGACCCCACTGGCTCGGACCCCATCTAGGAGGCCTCTAGAAGTGAAAAGGGGCGGGTCTTCCCAGAGTGCTCGGAAGTCCCCCAGCCTGCTGAGGAGTCTTCCAGAAGCTTCCCGTGAAGACATCGGGCACTTTTGAAAACGCTGGACCCAGGTCCCCTGGAGCAATGACAAAATCATGACGAGAGGTATTTGCTGCGCCATTTTCGGCCTCTGCGCGCCCTTACCGGGCCTCGGGACCACGAAAAATCAACTCGGGATGAAAAACTGGCCCCCGGGAACGGGCCGAGACCTCGGGGGGTCGACGCGGTAACACAAATAATGACGGCGGGGGTCTGGACAGGGCCTTTGAGAAGCCCCGCCGCCTTCTGAGAAGGCCTCCCCTTTCTCACTTCCCTCCCTCGCTCGCTGCCGAATCGAGCAAGAACACGGCGGAGGCCTTCCGACGTTCTCGGCTTTGGGGGCCCTCGCCGAGCCCCTTGGCCGCCAACAGGAGCAACTCAGGAAACACCGGCCCTGGGGAAAGGGTCGGGGATTCCAGGGGCCCCGTGATGACAAGACCAAGACGTTGGATCTTTCTGGGGGGGCAGTGAGAGGAAGGGGCTGATGGTGAGTTTTGCTGCCGCCCCCGGAGGCCATCGCGGCGGCCCGGCCAGGGCCAGAAGCGTGGGCATGGACTGATGCTCTTTGTTGCTGGCGTCGGCCCCCAGATGTCTCGACCCATTCTCCAGGACCGGCTTCTCATCCCGAGCGATCTTCGACAGCCTCCCCCCCCCCCGGTCAGGGGGCCCCCGCACGGTCGGACCCAGGTCTAAGGTCGAGGTCGGTCCGTGGAGGGTAAGTACCCACATGTTCTTCGTGTTTGTTGGGTTCGGCGGAGGGTCTCAGGTTCGGGCGGGTCTAGGACGAAGACAGATCTGTCCCAGAGGATTCCAGAACGCCTTCGGAGCGTTCCGGAGCGCTCTGAGAAGGCCGCGGCGCACGAGACATCCTCCAGAGCCGCCGGGTCTCAGAGATTCTGGATGTGCCCCCACCCGATGTTATTCTCGTCCTGGCCTTTCCCTACACGTGCCTGAAGGATGTTCTTCTGTCCCAGGTCCGGCTGCGGAGGAGGCGGAGGAGGAGGAGGAGGAGGGGGAGGAGGAGAAGGGGGAGGAGGAGGAGGAGGAGGAGGGGGAGGAGGAGGAGGGGGAGGAGAGGAGGAGGAGGACGAGGAGGAGGCGGAGGGCTGAGGAGGGAGAAGGAGGAGGAGGAGGAGGAGGAGGAGTAGGAGGAGGAGGAGGAGGAGGCCCGATGTTTCGGCGGCGAGCGAGGGGGAGAGGTGAGAGAGGGCGGACCTTCTCAGAAGGCTCAGAAGTCCCCCCCACCTTTTCCGAGGAGTTTCCCAAGCCTTCCCCGAACGCAGAAGTCGGGTGGACCCCAACAGGGGGTCCAGCGACAAGGGGGTGGTGAAATAGATTTTGTGCAATAGATTTGCGGGGTTGCAATACACATTGTTCATGTCTAATTGTTCGCAAGTTCTTTGATTTTTGTTGGGGGCCAAGATCGTTTCATTTCTAATTAATCTATCCTGGGCCTCTTCCTGGTCACTAGGGGGCCAGGAACAATTAGAAACGAGCACAAATTGAAATGAGCACGATCAGAAATCAACGACGTGTACATCTGGGGCGTGCAATACATTCTGGGGCGCAGATGTATTGCTGGATTGTCGCGTGCAATACACTACTTGCAATACACTGCATACCATTCTCTGGCGCCATACATTTGCAAAACAATTGCCCCAAATCTGCCTACATCTATTGCACCACCCCCTTTCAGCTGGACCCCCTTTTGGGCCACCCAAACAGAGACGACTTAGCTCAGAAGGCGCGAGGGCATCTGAGAAGTCCCGCCGCCTTCTGAGGAAGGCCTCCGCTTGTAGACGACTACCAAAGGAAGAGGAAGCAGGTTGCCACGTAATTTCCAGATATCTCAAAATGTCTGGAACATGGCTTAACCATGCAGAAGACATGTTTTAGACTTTGCTTGATGAATCTGTTTCAGATAGTATCAACGCGTTTTGATTCAATGATCGGATTGCTATAGGGGAACAAAAAGTGGCATAAACATAAAAACTCGGAGGTCCGCGCGGATTTCTCGGATCGGCGCTGGGGCCCCCCGGCGGCGCCTCCAGCGCCGCCCCTGGCGCGCTCCGCGCGCCAGGGAGGGGGGTCCAGCGCCGATCCGATAAATCCGCGTGGGCCTCCGAGTTGTTATGTTTATGCCACTTTTTGTTCCCCTATGTCAGGGCTCCCGTAGTCATGGCCTCCACAAGCCTCCTCCTTCTTACTTCCTCCCTCGCTCGCAGCCGAACGTTGCCTCGATGATGCCTTCACCTCTGGCCTGGGGCAGGGGTTGGCCGTGCGGGGCGCCGCCCGCACCCCTTGGAGATCGCACAGTGCGGGGGGGGGTTATAAATTGAAGTCGGGCGTGTCCCTCGACAGGAGGAGCATCCATGCATAATACTAACCTCTAGTCTGGGAGCGATGTTTTGAGTTATTTTCTGGAAATGTTTGAATGCTTTGTGACTTCTTAGTTTGCGTTCAAAAATCGCCTGTAGGAGGACATGCCCGACCTAACGAGAAACGGGGAGGGGGGTCAGCGAGGACTGCCGCCAAGGGGCCCTCTCCGGGCCCCCAAAAATCGGCTGCGAGCGAGGGGGGGAAGCGAGAAGGAGAAGGCCTTCCTCAGAAGGCGGCGGGACTCCTCAGAAGCCCCCCCGGCCTTCTGTGAAGACTCTTGCGCCTGCGGGGCGGGCCCGGAAAGCTTTCTCAGAAGGCCGAGGGACTTCCGTCGGGGGCCGAAAAGAGGGGGGTGATGACTAGGGGGGGGATATCATGGCGGGGGCCATGATATTTCCCTAGATGTTATAGCGCCTCTTCTTACTGGGAGCCTGCGGTAAACCGTCAACCTTGGTTACCGCCGGGAACTCGTAGAGCTTCCTCGTGCAATGCGGGCGCGGCAATCTCGCATTGCGCGCGCGAGGGGGCGGTCTCGTGGAGGAGGACGTGGAGGAGAAGAAGGAGCGAGGGAAAAGCATCTCTGAAAACAAATAATAGACATTCCAGACCGAGTTCAGGCGTCTGGGCACTTTGAGCTAGCGCGCCTGTTGCTTTCCTTCCGATTGCTGTGCCGAACAGCGTAAAGAAAACCATCACCATCTCTAAAAAAATAACAGAGTACGACTAGCTTTTCGGCCCCAGCGCTGATAGCAGACCGAGTTCAGGCGTCTAGATACTTTGAACTAGCGCGCCTGATGATTTCTTTCCGATTGCCGTGCCGAACAGATCTGTAGCTCATCTGCAGCTCGAGTTAAATCAAGAAAACCAATACCATCTCCAAACAATCAGCAGAGTACGAATGGTTGTTCAGCCCCAGCACTGATAGCAGACCGAGTTCAGACGTCTAGATACTTTAGATTATCGCGCCTGACGATTTCCTTCCCATTGCTGTGCCAGATAGCTTTGTAGCTCATCTGCAGCTCGAGCCAAGTCAAGAAAAGCACCACCATCTCGAAAAGTTAGCAGAGTACGAATAGTTGTTCAGCCCCAGCGCTGATAGCAGACCGAGATCAGGCGTCTAGATACTTTGAACTAGCGCGCCTGATGATTTCCTTCCGATTTCTGTGCTGGACAGCTCTGTAGCTCATCTGCAGCTCGAGTTCAGTCAAGAAAACCATCACCATCTCCCAAAACATAGCAGAGTACGAACAGTTGTTCAGCCCCAGCGCTGATAGCAGACTGATTTCAGGCGTCTAGATACTTTGAACTAGCGCGCCTGATGATTTCCTGCCGATTACTGTGCCGAACAGCTATGTAGCTCATCTGCAGCTCGAGTTAAGTCAAGAAAACCATCACCATCTCCCAAGAACTGGCAGAGTACGAATAGTTTTGCGGCTCCAGCGCTGATGGCAGACCGATTTCAGGCGTCGTAGATACGTCAGACTATCGCGCCTGATGCTTTCCTGCCGAGTGCTGTGCAAAAGAGCTCTGTAGCTGATCTGCAGCTCGAGTAAAGTCACGAAACTCATCATCATCTCCAAAAAAATAGTAGAGTACTAATTGTTTCGCGGACCTAGCTCGAGTAGCATACCGAGTTCAGACATCTGGATACTTCAGACGAACGCGCCTGACGATTCTAGATCGATTAGGTGTGCCTACCAGCTCTGTAGCTATCCTACAGCTCGAGTTAAACACAGAAAACCGACAACACCTGTCAAGATGACTCGACACAGCCGATCCCGCCTGAGTGCTTTTCGGCAGTAGGAGGTACCCGATCGACCTGAGATTAAGACGGCGAGCGGAAATAATATCGAATATGAGGAGAAAAATATCAAAGCTGTAACGACCTGTTACATTTCGAGAAATCGAATTTGAACATGTCAAAAAAAGACCAAGCATCCGTCGAGATTTTTTTGCCAACTAGCCCCCCAGCGCGCCGGAATTACTCTTTTA